ACAAGTAACAATATCAGAGGAAAGCACCACATACAACATGCTGACAGCGATAATATTATTACGCTGATGTTTTAACAGGTAGACTGTAGATAACATATGTGGTAGACAATATCTTCACTATAGAAAGAAATAATAGGTTTGATAGAACAATAATTCCTTAAAAATGTATAGAGCTCTTTTCATTCACGCCATATATCCATTCATAGGACAATACGGTTTCCTTTCAATAAACTCTTTACTTGTATGGAGTTAATTGTTTCTCTGTATAAAGGTCAGTTTTATTATTGTTCTTCCCATATACACCAGTATATACATTCAGAAAATATTCTATAAATGTAGTAGTTCATTTGTAATAGACATATTGATTAGTGAACACGATAAGATGTATTTAAAAAAAAGCCATCTATGAACATAGGAGGCCTATTGGACATATATCAGTCATTATTTATATTAATTCTAGTTCCTCTCTAGTCCAGTAAAATCAATCTTAGTATAAAATGTTTAATCAGAGAGAGAGAGAGAGAATATACCCAGCCTATACAAGAAGATGAAAATATCAAGAAATCCTTATTGGCAGATAAACTGATTGAAAAGAAAAAATCCACAGTGAAACACATATAAACTGGTGTTGTTTATTTTCCAGTCTACGAATTCCAAGTGGAATAAAGAGCTTCAAGCTTTTCTGAAGTTTCAGTTGCTTCTGGTGTTATTTTTACGAGGTGTAAATGTTAGAGCCTCATACCCTAATCTTCAATCTAACTATCAGCTAGTAAACCTGGGCAGAGTTTCAGAATTCATCAGCCGTGTGAATCGATCCCTGGACCAAGTGCGTAGTTAGCAAACATCCTGCTTATGGAACCACTGATGCACATAAACTGGTATATGTATAAACATATTGGAAGGAACAATGAAATCCATTTTTTTCTTTATTCTTGATCCAAACAAATATGCATTTAATAAGCTTCTCTAAATTGTATGTTGTTGTTAACAGGATTTGATACTTAGGCAGAGTAATAGGTTAATGAAAACAAAACACTTAGTTCAGCGAAGCGTCTCTTTTCGGCGAATTCATTCACTTAGCGGTGCAGTCACAATTATTTATATACTTATTTTTGTATGTGTGTGGGTTGTCCGATAAGAATGAAAATCAGCTAGGGTTGTTGTTATCAGGGTACTTCAAACATGTGGTGAGTAATCAAACTGTAACTATTGTGGGGAGGGATGAACATTGGTAAGAGGGTAGTAGTGATGATGAGCTTGATGAGCTCAACAAGTGCTCGAGAATTGAGCTAATAATTGTCTTGCATTGTCCTTTTGCTAACCACGCCGGATAATGTTCAGAGATGCGTTTGCAAAGTGGGTGCTTTCTGCGGTCAATAAAACTAGCTCTACAAGAAAAAGTGAATTTATAAACACACACTGAAGTGGCCCGAAGCGGTAGTTTATCCTTCACACATCCATTGGTGATTGATCGGCTGTAAAAACTGACCCGTAGCTCTACCGACAAGAAGGCTTTCCTCAGTGATCTGCATAAACGGTTCTTCAGAATCTCAGCTGCGGTATCCCCTTTAAATTCAACGTTCATAAGTAGCAGTTTCTTCGGAACCGTCTGGGTTCTTTTGTGGCTTTTGCTTTACCTTCATATTTTTTTCGATGAATCAGGGAGGATATCCATTTTCCATGAGGACTTATCTGAGTCGCTCCAGTTCCTCGTCGATTGTATCATTGGTGCATATCCTCCTTATTCTTGAGGATAAGGAGTGGATCAGGTTTCTTTTTCTTCTCAAAGGGACCCAACTATGGAAATTTGTGTACTGACCATTCCATATTGGTTTCCTATAGATCGATCTTTGAAGAGAACCATCAGATCTCCTTTTTAGAAGAACATCCAAAAAAAGGAATTCTGAGTTCATCTCTGATTCCGACGTGAACCGGATAGAATGATGGCAGTTGTTGAACTTATATTAATCGATCAGTACTATAGAGCGTCATGAACTGATGCATGATTTCTTGATTGCAAAATTGAGATTTGTTTTCAATATTTTACTACATCTTTCTTTTTGAGTATGATTTCAATCCGAAACTCTTATTTAGCTTCAATGTTATTTTGACCTTTCAATGAATTAACCTTGTCATTTGACCCATTTTCTCTTTTTTATTCAAAGACATAATCACATCAACTGATTAATTTGTAAAAATCCTTGAAGTGAATTGAGTATTTAATATACATTATTATTATTCACTTGGGTTCCGAGTGAAACATACGGCTTCAACAACACGTCTCCACGTTGTTCTACTTCCTGCCCTCCTCTTCAGCTGCGTTCACGATTGCTCACAATCTGTCATCTCCTCCTCACAATTATGAGGTTAGTCACCAGATTGGAATCCAATGATCCGGTTAGTGAAAAAATCTGCCTTGAAAGCTTCTTAATCTAAATCTTGATTACGTAACTATAGGATATCTAGTGGGTAACTCCTCTTGTGGCGGTGCTATCTATAAGATTTACTAGCATATATATATATATATACCTATATATATACATATGTATATATATATATTCATCGACATACAACGTCTAATAGCAGGGAGATAGATTTGATGTCAGAGAAGGCAAATGATACAGCGTTGCGGAGATACATGGGAGACGTGAAAGGAACACAAAGAAACACAATATGAAGGAAGGCCAGAAGTAGCACAACACGGAAGATCTGTGCAAATGGTGAGTTGAAGATAAGGTGTACATAATTTCGCTATATATAGAGATACCAAACTGCAAATAAACATTCCTTAACCATGTCTTTCGTCTTCTACCGTTACACTCTATCCTCAAAAAAAGAAAAACAATAATCCCTGACAATAATACTTATATCTGGTGTAAAAGAACATTAGAATAAGACATGAATCGATATTTTAAGAAACAGTTTTATTAATTTTCAAGGACTTATTAACTCTAACCAGAAGGTCAACTACAATACCACTTGAAGTACATTGTAGGTTATTTGTCTTACTGAGAAGTCATGTGTAACAGATGTTTAATGTTCCAACTGACCATCTCTTATGAACAAGCGACACAAGCACGATTTAGTCTCATAGAATAATAACTTGTGTCAAGCGATGATAATCGTTTGCAAAACTCAAATAGATTCTTGTAAGCATTACATAGAAAAGGGTTTAAGTAGGTAACTTTGAATAAATTAATGCACTGGGTAATGGAACCAGATTTGATATTGAGACAGTTGTCACACACCACATAACCCATACCTCCGAAAATAACTCGTCCAATAACTTTATTGACTGATGCTGTGTCCTGGTCTGATTAATTGTTTTCTTTTTACCGTCTTATTTTATGTTGGAGTAGATATTGAATAACACGTGCTAAAGGTCCCGCTTTAAACAAGAAAGATTTACGATTTCACTGGATAACTATAACTTAGACAACACTCTGACCGATGGCTTTGAATTGTTGACGTAGTGATTTTAAAACACGCAGGATTAAGCACAAAAGGCCTTAGCAGATCAACGATTCTTAATACGGGTGTTTTTATTTTTAAACCTAACTGACTTCAGCGACTCAGAGATTGACTTACTACCATCAGAGAGTAATCTCGTTGACTTAGAATATCCAAATGATATAGACCTCCGTCCTAGGTGAAGACGCTGACAAGATGTACAGTCTTATGAACACCTTGAGGAGCAACAATCTTCGGACGTTTGGCATGCATTTCACTCTCGCCAAATGTAAGATGATGCTACAGGACTGGACTACATTGACTACATCCTAGCTTAGAAATAGGGAGTGAAGTGGTAGAGCACATTGACCACTTCACTTATTTGGGAAGCTGCATCGGCCAACGCCAGCGGGTTGATCGCTGACGAAATTTCAGCACGGATACAGAAGGCTTGTTACGCAAATGCAAGTTTACGCCACCTCTAGCGTAGACGTGATATCCAGCTGTCTACCGAAGGACGTGTATACTAATCAGCAGTTCGCTCCGCCCTCCTTTATGGCAGTGAGAGAGAGACATCGCCACTGAAAATAGATATGAAAAGGCTAGTCGTCTTTGATCATCGGTGTATGCGTTCAATCTTCCGGGTTAAGTGGCACAATGAGGTGGGCAATATTGAGGTTAGGCGTTGGTTGAGTTCTAGGTAAGGAGGGGAAATCAGTCGACGAGATTGTGAAGCAGCAGCTGCATCGATTGAGATGGTTAGGGCATGTGTTACGCATGCATGCCTAGCCATCTCCTTCCTCAACAATGGGCAATGTTAGCTGACTGACATAGGATCAGGTTGGAAAAGAGAAAGCTAGTGGTGGTCAAGTGAAAACATGGCTTCATCAGTCAATGAAATCCACAACAGTTAGATTAAGCCACGTAGGAAGATGTAGACTTCCTGACTGGTTGGGGTCCTCGGGATGGTAAACATCAATGACTGGAGACAATCAGTGATATGGCTCAAAATCGTTCTCAATGGCTGGCGTAGATGCATTCACTTTTTGTGACTTATAATACCCAATAAAATTCTATTGTTCTTCCATATTACTATTCTTTTTGCCTCACTCATATTTCTGTTTATTATCTCTCTCTCTTTTGAATCTCTCTTTACTCTATTCTCTTGCTTTGTGTGGTAAATGGAGGGAGTTTGGCAACTTGAACTGCTGCACATCTGTGCAAAGTTCTACGATGAAACCAGTCAGTCTGTCACCTATTCACAGGATAAGTATTTTGAAACAGTTTGATGTGCACTCATTGTGCTTATCTACTCTCTCAAATTTCTTCTTTTTATTTCTATGTGAACTTTTCAAAGACTATTTCGTAAAAACAGTTTTGGACACAGATCTTATATAATATGTGATGACAATCAAAGTTGTGAGGAAAAGATTGTTCCTATAAAGATTTGTAAGACATTTTAAAAAAATGGCATAAGCAGTAATAGGAATAAGAAGAAAGGAAGGTGTATAGGGAAAAGACGAAGGTACTTGTTGTTTACTTGTACTTACAGTATTCAAAAGACGTTCTTCTAATTCATGATTTAGTTTACTCAATCGTTGATGACTTGACATCAGTCTACAAGAAAGGTAAAAACAAAAAGAGATAAAAAATTAGTTAATTAGAATACTACTTTGTGTAACTATTACAGATTAGCTCGGTATTCTATTAGTCAGAATTTAAATTGTATAAATATTGATTATCTATACGTTAAACAAGAATAAACACAGCCAATCAGATTTCAGCATGTTGATAAATGCCGACTTATCAACCCAGGTTGCTGTATAATTAGTTCCCTAGATGCTTTTTGTATAAAGATTCATATATATATATATATATATAATTGTTTCCTTTAGTTCCTAGAGGAACATGGGGCTTCAGCCGCACGTCTCCATTGCGTTCGGTTCTCCACTAGTGTTTTCACCTGGCTCCACGTCTGCCCACATGCTTTCATATCCTCTTCACATGACCTCCTCTAAGTCACTCTTGGACAACCAACTCACCGCTTCCCATTCGGGTTCCACTCGAGCGATGGCCTGTCTAGTGATGTCACTTGATGGCTTCCTCAGAGTATGGCCAGTCCACCTCCATTTCTTCCTGCATATTTGTTGCACAATTGGTTCCTGGTTGGTTCGCTCCCAGAGATCTCTGTTGCTGATCTTTTCTGGCCGGCCATCTGATCTTGAGCGAAGACAGCTGTTGATGAAGATGTGTAGTTTGTTTGAGGTGCTCTTCATGACGCAAAGTCTCTGATCCGTATAGTAGCACTGACTTCACTTCACATATATATATATATATATATATCTGTAATTACACCATCTCTCACTCACTGGTCTAAAGATGCATGTCCTAATATTAATGTTTGAATCATCTTAAAATTGAGTTCATGTCACAGAAAATCTACTAGAAAACTATCAAATACTCCTTATTGTTAACTTTATTCATGTGAAGATTCAGTGATCACAAAAAACGTGTGGTTCAGCAAAAAATTATTGTTATCATACAATTCTATGACCTACTGAAAGTATATGAACTAGATAATTAGAAAAAATATGCTTGACGCTATATACTACTGACTGATGGATACAAGTAGTTGCATACCGCTCACAGCAACCAGTAGCTAGCCAGCGTTCAGATGATTTCAACTGATTTAGTCCTCTGTGAGAGTAATCAAACTGGGCACAACACTGATGAAATCAGCCTTAAAAGACCGCCGGTGTTGAGATCACTTCAGTTTGGCTGGCAGGCACTACTACTACTACTGGTTGATATGGTGGTATCCAACTACTTATTTCAATCACATCAGTAGTATATAGCATCGCTTTCACAAAAAAGCATCATTTTACAAAAGATGTGTGCTTCACAGTTTGGAACGGATGAGAATGAAACAATTAATATCATATCATATTTTGGAAATACAACTAAGAAATAAAAATTATTTTCTTGAATTTATGCAACTATTAGTTTGTTCTCTTAGTATGTGTGACACACCAGTCATTTTAAAATTTAATGATTCACATGCTAATGAAAAAAGGTCAACATTAGGCACGATGAATCATATGCTTAGAGATAATGATTATCAATGACCAGTCATCAAGTAGTACAAGCTATTTCTCTTAAAATACATATAATCTAAAATGAACCTGAAAAACGTTTAGCTTAACACTTATTAGACGCAGAAGTTAAGTCATGATACAGAAAAACATTAAAAAGTAATCTAATCGATAGAGTTTCATTAAAATCTAGAATTATACTTGATAAATTTTATTCACGTCTACAACTTAGCTAGTTATCTAAAATGGAGAGGATTATTTAACTAAGGTCGTGTAGAAAATGTGCCTGAAAAGGTTTCAACCAACAGATTTCTCGAATTCAAAACTCGACCCTATTCAGTCAGGCCTGGTCAACAGAATGGTATTATTGAAGCCACAAAACTGTGCAGCGTCGTTGAATTAGGATCACCTAAAAAACCAACATACGCTAAGGAGACCGATAGACCCTCAAGTAGATCTCGGATGGGAAACGTGGAGTTGGGCATGAGTCCGAAGGTGAAGTAGAGGAGATTATGTGAGGGGGAAATGAAAGCTTATATGAAATTGTAGAGCCAACTAAAAATGACTGCAGAGAACAAAGTGGAATGAAGATGTGCTACACTGAAGCCCCACATCCCACTCTGGACCCACGGGAATATTAATAAGAAAATTGGCAACTAGTCTCATAGAAACAGCACAAGTAAAGTCAATCTTGCAGGCCAGCGTGGAAGAATCCTTCTCTATACTCTACCGGGTGCCTAATAAATTACCAAAATCATCGAAGCACCGCATGCTCCAAACAGCAGAGGCTATTGCAATTCGCCTCAAACAACCAGGGCTCTGTTTGCAAAAGAAGCAAGTCCAGCCCCTACTACTGCCCTGGCTGGTCTTCAGTAGAGACTATAAATTCATGAATTTGTGTTATTATCTTTCCTAATTTTTCTGACATTCAGCTTATTTTATGTTGATGCTATTCAGCTGTAATCTACCAATATTATTGATTCGATGTTATTTAAACAATATTAATGTTGTTCATAACACTAATTCATTCATTCACTATAATGTATACATAACTGTAGAGCCTGATGATCAAGTTATCGAAAAGAGTACTCTTTGTTCAGTATCCATACAGAATATATTACTGACTGATATAAATATTTAGTAATACTGTGCACATACAAACCATTTCAGGTGGATAGAGATGATCAGCAAGAAGGCATATCTAAATCACTGAGGTTTCACTCTAATTGGCATATGTCAGCAAACAAGCGCATCTATATTCATACATGCGATACATTGGTAAGCTATGCCTATTGTAATAATAATGAATAATATAGAGAAGCAGGAAAGATGGACCAAATTAAAGAATAGAGATTGACGAATAGCGCACAACTTTGAACGCATAACTATTCATTGGACAATAAGACCTACCATTATTACAATGTCACTATAAACGCTGTGTACACGAATTGAGGTGCAAATTTCATCCCGATCTCATTTTTAAGTACTATTTGGATGATGGTTTGATAGCTCGTCAGAGTTACGGTTAGGATCAGGGTTAGGGTGTTTTATTTTCACCATTTGTATTTTTCTGGTGAATAGCTTTGGCTGGCTGGATTCAACGTAGAACTTAGCGCCGAAGTGCAGCAGTTCGAGTTGCCACATTCCGAATAGCACACAGAGGTAGACAAGAAAATGAGTGAAGAGAATCAATAGAGTTTTGACAAGTATAAGAGTGAAACAGAATAAGTAATGGTAGAAAGGAATATGAAAGACTACACAAGAGACTGAATACATCTGCGTAAGCCATTGACAACGATTTTGAGCCATGTCACCTATTGTCTCCAGCCATTGATTCTTAGAGTCCCGAGGGCCCCAACCCGGAAGTCTGCATCTCCCTACCTACCTGACTCAGTTTAACTGTCAGGGATTTCATGGATTGATGAGGCCATGTTTTTGTTTGGCCACCACTTACTCTTTTCCAACCTGCACCTATATCAGCTAGTAATGCCCGTCGAGGTGGGGGAGACGATGGTTAGGCATGCGCAGCACGTGGCCTAACCATCTCAATCTATGTAACTTCATAGCCTCTTCGAGTGATTTTCCCTCTTTGCCCAACACTCTACGCCTAACGTCAACATCATACCAACTAACGCGAGAAAGAGATCGTAAACATCTGTGGTGAAAAACAGTCAACCTTTTCATGTCTTCAACTCGTATTGGCCATGTTTCAGAGCCACAGAGAAGGACGGAGCGAACTGGTGAGCAGTACACACGTCCCTTGGTTGATAGCCGGATGTCACGCCTACGCCAGAGATGGTGTAAGTTAGCGAAAGCAGCCCAAGCTTTTTTAATCCGTGCTGAGATGGTGAATAGCTTTAGGGTGCTCATAGTTGTTATGCTTATATATTTCCAGTGGATAAACGACAATTTTATGAAAAAACCCAAAAGCGCCAGTTATTCTGATTGGCCAACTCGAGGTTATTCGTGCGTCCGCATTTCTTGCATTGATATTCTTCACCTTTGCTGAAAGATGTATACATCTTCAGAGAACAGCTGCTGGTGATGTAATGAATAAGAATGAACTACTGTGCCGTGTGCTTTTGATAAGATTTATCAATAGTACACATAAAGAGACGTTCATCGGCAATAAAAACACCGAATAGCAGGGAGATTGTGATTTGATGTCAGAGAAAGTAAATGATACAGCGTTGAGGAGATACATGGGAGACGTGAATGGAACACAAAGAAACACAATATGAAGGAGGGCCAGAAGTAGCACAATACGGAAGATCTGTGCAAATGGTGAGTTGAAGATAAGGTGTACATAATTTCACTATATAGAGATACCAAATGTCTAACAAACCTTTCTTTACCAAGTTTTTCGTCTTCCACCGTTACACTACTATCTCCATATTTAACGTTTAGTTTTAAAGTAACAATAATACAAAACATTGAAAACAGAGGTATACCTTGTAAGAGTGAAAGTGAACAGACTATAAGAATGCAGATACTGAAGTATTCAAATGACCAACTGTTGTTCAAGTGTTGGTTTGTAGGGATTTGATTGGTTACAGGATTTTCATCATGAGCTGACATAAGTTAGAGAACCATTGTAAAACCTGGGAGTACTGGACAGCCGTTTCGTCCTAGTTTGAGACTCTTCATCAATGAAATGCTCACTAGCGACTTTCCCTATTCAGGTTGGTAGTTACCTGGGGTTCCAGTAGGAAGTCGTGACCAGTAGGGTGCAGCAGGTCAGGTGTAAGGACAAATACTCGCCGAAGACATTGGCTAGGGGTCGCGCTATATAGTGAATTGGCAGAGGTTAGAATTCATGGTCTGGCCATTGGATCGGGTCCCAGTGGCTTAATAGTATGCGAGCTCGCCTTGTAACCAGAAGGTCCTGGGTTCGAACCGTGGCGGTGGGTGCGTACTGATGAAGAGTTCCAAACTAGGACGAAACAGCTGTCCAGTACTCCCAGGTTTTACAATGGTTCTCTAACTAATGTCAGCTCATGATTAAAATCCTGTGACCAACTGTTG